AAATAATGATATAATTTTTTATAATTTTTTATTAAAAAATGGTCATTTTTTCCTACTAATCAAAACTACTATCTTCATAAAGTTTTTCAATCAATCATATATAATCTTGTGCACATTTACTTAATTTCTTTTATTCAAATCATAAAAGTTATATTTTTAATTATAAATTTTTAAAAGTGCTAGCTTTGATTAATAAAGAGAAAAATGTTATATCTTTAATTAAAAATATCTTGAAAAGTTTCGTCTTTATTAGTAAGAAATCTCATAATTTCAACAATTGAACATCAAATCCTAATAATTGACGATGAGCAAAGTTTTGTCATGACAACAACGAAGAGTTAGCGGTATGATTTATTTTTTTTTTTTGCCCTTATTAGGATAGATAATTGTATGAAGATAATTCATTGTGTTCCATACATACATTTTTGTTCAAAATAAATATTTAATATTCTGTTGTCATTTTGATTTCTTTTATTTTGATAATGTTCCCGGACCTTGCTTTAGTTAGTTTGCATACTTTATGTGAGGGTTTCAAAGAAGTCAGAAAGTAGCCAAAAGAATTAACCAATTAAATCTCGTTTAGTCAAATATTGTATTTATATGCTAAAAGGTGGGCCCTTTCATAAATAGTTAATTTGAATTGCTTTCCAACTAATATTGATGCGGTTTGGAAACGACTTGGTTTTTGCTTTAGGTTTACTTGTTATTCTTTATAATGTCTAAAAGACTCGAAAGAATAATATATGAACTTTTTCCATGGAAAGGATGCTAATTCACAAACAAGAGAGAAGAACAAGAGCAGAATCCTAAAAGAAACATTATGGCATGAAAATTTTAATATTGTTATTATACGTCTTAATCTTAGTGTAAAAGGCATGAACAAGGAATAGGAAAAAATTCAAGTCGCAAAATGCTTACTGTACTCAAAATGAGTCCGAATTCTCAGTATCATCTGTTTTTAATTCTCATAGCTAATTGCTGGAAGTAGATTAATTAATTCGTTTTCGTACTCCGCAGGTGTTAAAAATATCAGAAGTTGATTGCCAAATAAACTCTTAATTCTTTGAGTATTGATAGAGTTTAAAAGTGTAATTACTTTGCCTTTTTTAAAAATTTTGTATTCTTTTCGCTTCTCTTTTCTCCCGTGCTCCGAAACTCTGCAACTAGGGTTTCGGTGACGGCGAGCCTCTCACTTCGGTGCCCCTCCTTGTTTTTGCAAGGCCTCCCTCCTCTTTCTTTTTCCTGGTTTTCTACCTCTCCATTCCATGGATCAGACTCGTATTTTGGCCTGGAACTGTCGAGGTCTTGGAGATACTTCTGCGATTTCAGAGTTGAAGAAACTCTGTTTCCAACATAAGCCCAGCATCATCTTCCTCTCCGAAACTAAGCGCACAGCGGTGGAGATGACCTCGATCCGCCCAGATCTAGGGTTGGATCACGTTTCTGTGTGCAATTATGCAGAGAGAAGGGGCGGCTTGACCCTGCTTTGGAGTGAGGAGAGTAATCTTCAAGTTTCCTCTTTCTCGCCATTGATAGATCTAGGGTTGGTTTTGCTGTTCTGCAGGCAATTGTGCATAGAGAAACCATCACACATCGATGTTGTAATTGTAGATCCCGGTGGTTGTCAACGGCCATCAACAGGGTATTCTGGCCAACCAGAGATGGTTTCTCCTATGCCTCGAAGATGTTTAGGCGATTTCAAGGATTTTTTTAGCAAATCGGCAAAGGAGAGGGGCTTGGTTTCTGCGGGAGGGGCCAAAAGGGGAGAATGCCG